TTGTGGGGGTGTGTTGCTGCAGGAGGGACTGGTGCACTTCACTAAATAGATGACATCATGAGGAAAGAACATTATGAGGAAATATTGAAGCAACATCTCAAGACATCAGCCAGGAAGTTGAAGCTTGGACGCTAAAGGGTCTTCCAAATGACAATGACTCTAAACATACCACCAGATTAGTTATAAAGAGGCTTCAGGACAACAAAGTCCATGTTTTGGAGTGGCAAAGCCCTGATCTCAATGCTGTAGAACACTTGTTGGCAGAGCTGAAAAGGCGTGTGGAGCAAGGCAGCTTACAAACCAGACTCAGTTCCACCAGTTCTGTCAGAAGGAATGGGCCAGAATTCTATCAAAGTATTGTGAGAAGCTTGTGGAAGGAAACCCAAAATGTTTGACCCAAGTCACACAGTTGAAAGGCAATGCTACCAAATACTAAGGAAATGTATGTACACTTCTGACTTTGAATAAAGTAATAGAAAAACTCTCTAAAAAAAATTCTCTCTCATTATTCTGGCGTTTAGCAAATAGAAATAATTTTGGTAATCCTAACTGACCTTAAACAGGAACAGTTTAGTCTGATTTAATGTCAGATAGTGAGAAAAAAAAAAGCTTTATGTCTTTTTATACAGTGCATGTAAACATCTGGGTTTAACTGTATATGTAAGACTGTGTTTAGTATTTTTTCTCTGCAAAAAAACTGAGCCACACAAGAGCTTCTTCACAATAAGGTAAACAGGTGTGAAACCCCATCAGACAGTCACGCATTCAAATCAGTGCGCACAGACGACGTTGTTAGAGTAACGGGAGAAGAAAGTTATTCTCTTTTACTACTTAAGAGCCATTGGATTTTACAATCTGTGACAAATCACTGGGAGTGAATATGTCACGACGGATGCTGGATGCAGCTCCGCGCTGTCAGCTGGCTACGAGGATACCGTTGTGTTTGCTTCTGGTCGGCCGTGATTTATAAAGTTAACATGCAGTGACACAGCGGCGGCAGTTTAATGGCTCGGAAAGCTACTAAAAATGATTCACAATAATTATGAAGGGTGGCGAGCTGAAAGTCATTATTCTTGAGGTACTTTTTGTAAAAGCACACCGCAGTGTCAGACCTCACAGAGCTCACCATAACAATCAGTTATCATTCGTACAATAAGATAAAACATGGGACACACACAGAGGTGGGGAGTGGGTGCAAAATGTGCTCTTCAGTTCATTTCAAAGAGGCATGTTATGTTTGTTATTTTGTCACCGTACAGCTGTTTTATACACATCCATCCATCCATCCATTATCTATACACCGCTTAATCCTCACTAGGGTCATGGGGGGCTGGAGTCTATCCCAGCTGACTCAGGGTGAAGGCAGGTTCACCTGGACAGGTCACCAGTCTATCACAGGGCTACACTTAGAGACAGACAACCAAGCACACTCACATTCACACCTACGGACAATTTAGAATCACCAATTAACCTCAACATGTTTTTGAACTGTGTTGGAGGAAGCTGGAGAACCCGGAGAGAACCCACGCTGCACGAGGAGAACATGCAAACATGCAACATGTCCTCACTGGGACGCAAACCGGCGACCTTCTTGCTACGAGGCAACAATGCTAACCACCGCTCCACCTTGCAGCCCCTGTTTTCTACAACTAAATAAATACAATCAGAGATGGTATACTACCAAACATACTTATTTAAATACTAAGGTACAGTTCTGAGACACTTGTACCCTTGAACTTTAAGCTACTTTGTACTTCTACTCCACAGTGGACACAAACATGGTGGTTGTGCTCTGCTACATTTCACAGCTTTACTTTCCACTTTAAGGTTTTACAAACACAAACGTGCCATATAAGATGCCACATTTGTAGAAGCCAATAATGTAATAACAGCCAATAATCTAAGCAATCTGCACTTTTAAAAATGTGATAGGCCAATAACGTTATAATTGGTCAATAACGTAATAAGTTATTATGTTATTGGCCAAAAGTTATTACACTACCGGTTCAGGACTTTCATTACGTTACTGGCTTCTACACACATTATAGATGTAACTACCCTCAAGTACAGACAGCATTATAGATTGTTATTTGAACTCTTTTCAAATGTGCCTTATACATAAATTTGACTTTGACAGTAGCTCCAACTCAACCTGCTGCAACATGAAATGCTGTTTACATGTTTCGTACCCCCTCTGTGTGGACATGTTATGTTGTTAACATGTCCACACAGAGTTTTTTGTATGCTGGAAGGCAAACACAATGCAGTCAACCCCATGGCTGAGCATTTTAATTATAAAACTGCAGCGTACTGATAACGTTCTCGAAAACACGGATTCACACTTCGGTTGTTTTTATACCGAACAAGCCAAACGAAACAATCTTGGTTTTCTGTATCATTAGTTATTTTTATAATTGGTTTTTGAGTCGAACACGTGTGGCTGAATTATGCAAATGTTCCAACCTGTGTAGCGCAGAGTAGCTCTGCAGTGTGTGAGCAGAGTCATGAGTGAAGCTGGTGTGCTGGAGCTGCAGCGAGTGGTGGAGGAAGAACTTTACTGATCCCTCGTAAAGCTACATTTATACTATTTTAGGGCAGGAAGCGATCCGATATGAAGTGGTCCGATATTAGAAAGACATAAACCTGAGATGGCTCAAGTTTGAAAAGCAGTACTTGACACTTTGACTACATTTCTTTGATAATACCTTTAATAAGGTCAAATTTAACATGCAGGACTTGAATCTGTATTGAACAGTTCCACATTGCAGGGTGACTGTTTTGAAATACAATATTTTACTGCTTTATTAGAAAAAAAAGGCACAATAGCAACAATAAACTGCCCGACAGTATCAGCTCGAGTAATGAACTATAGTTAATAGTGATCAATAGTTAAAGTAGAATTTAAAGAAAATGCAAATGATAAATATATCACAAAAATGCTCATGGAAAATTAATTGATAATGATATGTATGTGTATTTGTTTGCTGATATTAACGTTTTTCTGATTATACTTCTGTGCTCGAGTTTAAACTGTAAATGTTAACTGAGTATTGCTGATACTCCAGGATGTTGTGACCTTTCTCTCTTTCAATGTGTGTACTCATGTAAAAAAAAACTAGTGCATTTTATATAGATTGCATGATAATGCTAAAATATCCGTAGGGAAAAAAATGAATGATGCACGATATTAAAATTTCTGGTCGATACCGATATCCGATATCCGATATTTCGATTTCTGATATCACCGATAACTGATATTACCAACGTCGATATTCAATTTTTGTTCACACCGAAAAACTAGTGTAAATAAGCACTGTGAGAAACTATTCAGAAGAAGCCCAAATTAGACCACATAGTCTTCTTTATTACGTAACAAAAGTAAAACATATTTTAACATATTTAGGACCATTTAAGTAAAAACATCTGTGAAATAGCAGCAATATCAAACGTAGAGACGACGAGAATGTTAGACAATCATCGGCTAAATTTGTTCATCGGACAGATACCGATATATCAGAAGAAACACTAATATCGGTCGATACTGATGTGGTCGCCGATATATCGTGCATCCCTTAAAAAAATTAATTCTGTTCTAAAAAACATAAAAAGCAGCTCTTGTAGCCAGCTTAGAGAGTAGAAGACAATTTTGATTAAGCATCTTTTTAAAAAAAATAACCTTACTGTCCGTGTCCAGCAGCTGCCAGTTCAGTTTGTTGATCTTCGACTCACCTGAAGCTGCAGGACGTGACTCACTATCACGCACACTTGGTTCTCACACGAGGCAGGTGGAAAGAAACTGTAGCCAGAGGGCTTCTTTTGTCACTTCTTGATGTGCAGTCGGCAGCGGAGGCTTTATTTAAAGGGTAAAATGTGGATATTAAAGATATTTAAAAGTCCAAAACAAAGTTGTCTGCTACAACCCAGGTGGCTCTCTTTAGGGCCTAATTACTCCTCCTCTGCGTCACATCGTTTCTCACCCTTCAATCCTCCATCACACACCAAAATAAAAGCTTATCTAAGACCCCATCGGGATCCTTTAGGGTCACAGGCTGGGTACCATCCCTCATCGCTGCAGATCTGCCGTGGAGACTCTTGATTGTGGCTTATTGTGGATTATCACCCACCTATCATCAAAACTGAGTGAATTCTCCCTCTGGCAAGTCAACCTTAGCATCCCATCTGCCACACTGGCAGGAAGCGGCGCTGCCATGTTCTGTCGGTGACAATCTGTCCGACCATTCAGAGAGGAATATTTAAAACCTGCAACCACACTTTTCAGTCAAGAGACACAGTGGGTATCACCATGAAACGTCCCCATCTGAACACTTACAATAAGGCAGTTGCTTTTTGTGGACTGAGTTTTCAAAAAAATGTGACGTTTAAATATGCAAATAACTCATTAAATGTGTAAAAACACCATATTTCAGAACAGAAAACTCAACGTTGGACGAAGCCTTCTTCAAATTTCTTGCTTAATTTTGTTGACACGTTAGAAGCACAGATTTTTTTTAGAGGTAATTTTGAATTCGTCTCTCTGTTACAGCGTTAATCATAAAGTAGTCAATCCATGTTTTTAGGAACTAAATGCTCCATAAATCAAGCTGTGACAGATATATGAAGAAACCCCTCCATTAAAACCTCCAGAATATTTCCAGAATATAATTTCCGGCTCAGAGTGAGCCACAATATATTCAATGTATTTTAATTAAATTATATAATTAAATAATTGTAATTAAATTATATAATTTACATAATTATATTGTATAGTAAAATATAATTAAAGCTCATATAATTAAAATATAATCAAATGTGAATGAGCATGTGAAAAAAAAAGCTCAGTTTGAGAAACAGCCTCAAGGTAGGTTTTGTAATTTGAAAATATAGATTAAAAAAAAAGTGTGGTAAATAAATAAAATATCTGAATAAACTTCTGAATGTCTACTTTGTTTGAAAGAAGAAGCTGATGAAAGCAAAACATCACAAATTCTTAAAGACAAATGTGCTTTTTTTCCTGTAGAGTCTTGCTTGAAATAATAACAGCAGGTTCCTTTATTTCAAATAAAATCCATTTATATTGTTTGTGAATTATACAGACATCAATATTTCTGATGTAATTATACAAAAGTCAGTGCTGGCAGCCCGTTTGGCATCAGGATCATTCAAAGGAACAGCAGTAGGCAACGACACAAAGCTGACATAATCTTATGAAAACACTGACCAGCAAAATCCAGATTTTTTTATTTTTATTTTAAAACCACAAATCATTTTAATCAGAGTCTTTCTTGAGCTGACAAATTCAGAGCACTTTCTTTGTCCCTTTAAGCTCAGTCTCCCAAGTGACTAAGCAATGCACAGTGAGAGGAATAAATGGCCTGGATATGGTGCTGCCATGTTGTTCTCATTCTCTGAATCACCCTGAAACCACGCCAACAATTTCTTTCAGGTCCCACAGGACAAGGTGTTATGCGAGATGGATATGAAGCAAAAATTGGGACATCAAGAGACACTTGCTCTTAAAGAGTTGCACCGTGGGTAACTAGCTTGATTTCTTTATCCTCCAAAAAAACACAAAATGGAGCCGATCTAACCCACCCAGGACGTTATTTATGTGACTCCTGCTTCCTCTCTGTGTCCCAGGATTCCGTGTACACCACATTACCTATCGCTCCTTGGGTGCAGAGGAAATATTTTAAAAATTCATGCCTATGCCAGGTGGAAATGTCAACGCTAAGAGCAGTTTGTTGTCACCCTGTGCTAACGGGGGGCTATTAGCGGGCTTCTTTTGGTTTCCAAGCATTTTCTTTCAGCAGGGTTGCAGGGGACTCTGTAGCGTGCCGCCTGGCATGTCCGTAACCGTACCCGTCGGCGCCTTGCTTTTCCGAGCCAGATGCTTTAGCCTGAGCTCCTCTCTGAACTCGTAGCTGAGGAGACCGGGCTCGCGGATGCACAGATGAGCGTAGGCATCTGCCAAAGCCCTGATGTGGGGTATGGTGAGTTCTGGAGGGCGCAGAACGGGGTCCACATCTGCCTTCTGCATCATCTCCTGAGTGAGCTCCACACGACGCGCCTCGGGGAACAAGTTTCTGTGGAAAGATATGAGAAGATGTGATTCCTACGCTCAGGTCGCTTTGATATCTTAATGATCATGCAACTTTAATGGCATTAGAAAGTTCAAACAGAAGAGAAATTATCCCTCAGCAATTATTTCAAATCTGTGAAGTTAATTGAAATCACACAAAGAGCTGCTCATGAATTGTTAATTTATTCCACTGCCACGGTACACAGTCAAGAGATGTCAAAAAACTCACAAAGTTCTCCAACATAAAGAGGGCAGCAGCAGCAGCGGCAGCGGCAGAAGCAGTGATTTGAATTTTAAATTTTCATTTATTTTGCCGGCTCTCACCCCGAAGAAACTCTCCGCTTCATTCAATATGGAGAGGTAGCCGTTTATTTTTAAAGACATTTCCCTGTCTAAGATGTTCTTTTGTAAATCTTCACTGCAACTTAGTGAGCAATAGCCAACTCCGCACTCTGCAGTGCAGATGCTTTTTGGGTGCTTCATCGCTCACCAATTTTGTGCCGCTGCCGCCAACCCGCTGCAGTTACATAAAAAATACGCTGCCTCGTCTTCCTATGCCACCTCAATGACTCATAATTGCTGCTCTCTTTCACGCAGCCAGCGCTCTTTTGTTATCCGGGGCCTACATACGCTTCCCTAACAGGCACGGGGGCGATGGACAGCGTGCACATGCGTGTGGGCGTTGTGGGTTTGTTGCTCGTGGTGCAGCTCTGAAGTTGCTCCGCCGTTCAGAGTTTGGTCACGGGAAGCCGCAAAAAGCCGCGTCTTCGTATGTCAAGCGCGGCGAATGAGAGAAAAAAAATAAAGCAAATCTAAAACCATTCCAATTAATGATGAGATGAAGACGCCGCTGTCAGAAAGCGGGATGAAAAATGTAGAGAGAGAATGACAGATGAGGACGAGATTAAAAAATAAAAGGGAGAAAAGGAGGATAGAGGCCCTGCGAGCTACATCCAGTTGTGTAATTGTGCTTACTCTATTCCTTTATGGCAGTGCTTTCTGCGGAACTGGAAGACGTTCCTGACGACTTTCTCCACCAGCTGGAAGGGCTGCTGGATCTGGGGTTGAACCAGAGGGGTGAAGTGAACTACTCCCACGTCCACCTACACACACACACAAAGACAGCAAGAAGGAAATCCAAACGGCGGGGGGTTAGTGCAGACCTTTAGAGTAGATTGCGATGAGTGTGCTCGTGGGAACGTGAAAAACAAGTGGCATAAAAGAGCAGGCAGGTGTGATGATGAGAGGAGAATGCAGAGTGCAGAGAAAAGAGCTGGGAAGAAAAGCTCGGCTGAAAAATGGCAAGAGATACAAAGCTGGACAAAGAGAGGAAGAGAGAGAGGGAGAGAGGGTGGTAGAGGGATCCACACACTGGGATAAAAGAAAAGAGGAGAGGCAGAAAATAAGATGACGCAGCATGGCTGGCTGGCGAGCTGGTTCCAGTTGCCACAGTAACACCTGTGCGATGGACCATAGAAACTGAGCCTCTCTCTGTCGCTGCATCATCTTAACACCTACAAGCCTGACTCAGTGGAGCTCGCGTCTCTTCATCCCACTGTCTTTGTCAATTCGGCTCGAGCATTTTCCTCTGAGGGTGAAAACATTGCAGAATAACAAACACGTATAGATCCGGGGACGGCTACGTTAGGCAGCCGCGGAGCTCACATCCTGCTTTACGGAAGAGTCGGTGGACAGGAGCTACGATGACTCATACACCTGCTTCTGAGTACAAGAACTCATTTAACAATATCACTGAAAACGATTAAAATCTCAAGTACATTTGTGAAAAATAAATGCAATGAATGCAGCTTTTTGAAGGTCACCTTTGCAGAAATAGCCCCCATTGGTGTTGCAGGATGAAGTGGGGCAGTGGTTCCCAACCTTACTTGTCTAAGCTACCACCACAACACAGTCAGATGGACTCTAGCATCAATTTAACTCCATAAATCATGTCCTACATACACTCATTTAATAGATTTTAAACTGCAACAATGGTAGCACACAACAGAAGTGAGTACACCCCTGTGCAAAACCTTTAAATTGCATCACCTCTAAGTTGTCATGTAGAGTACAGTCGTGACTCGACAATCCGACACTAAATGTAAAACCTTCTTTTATGTCGGATAGCAAGGCTGTCAGATTGTCAAGATGGAGCTCGAGATACAAGGAGGGCTTGATGCTTGAAGGCTCATTTGTTGTTAATATTTATTGTTTATAGTCATTATAATAACTAGTGTATTGTTAGAACGCATCGCTGGATTTCATGCTTAACTGACCGGTGCACTTGTGCATGTTCTGGCCACTTTCACTCCGGGGTAGTGCTCCGATGGGGTGGAAGTGTCCGGAACACACAGACAGTATTTGGCTGCTGATGCCGGTTTAGTTAGTGGTCACAGTTCTGTTTCCACCATCAGCGGCGGTGGCGCTGGTGGCAGTGGCGTTGGAGGCGGCAGGGGAGTGGTGGGCAAGATACGCTCCATCGCTACCATCCACGTTTACTTCTGCAAACACTGAGCATGCTCGCTGCGTGTGACGTCGTCATGTCCTCTTCTGCACATGCGGGACACTTTTGGGTCGTATGAAGTTCACACAGCAGATCACATACAAGTTGTATTTAACTGGAAATGTGAACGAACTCATAAAAAATCAGATTTCACTAAAAAATCCGAATTGAGCATCAAGTCCTGCAGTCTGAACAAAGCCAATCTGTGGGATTGTTCAGTCAGATAATACGCCGTTATCCCTTTTGGTGACAAAAAATGTCATGTTGGAGTCCGAATCCAAGGCTGTTGGTATGTTAAGGCTGTTTTTCATGGGTTCTGTTGGTTTTGCCTAAAAACCTGTGGGATAGCAAGGTTTTCAGATTGTTAAGGGTCGGATTATCGAGTCACGACTGTATTTCGTCTTATGAAAGATCAAAAACAAATACTTTAGAAAGACTATATTGAAAACACAGGCCCCAAAGTGGAAATGCAATGCACCAAACGTAAAGGCTCCATTGATCACTGACACACAAGTTAGAAAATCTGTCATCGCTGAAATGAAACTGAGTCCACTTGCAATTTCCAATTAGTCTAGCTGCATGAACATGGCTATAAAACGACCTTGGTACACCACAACTTCCTCAGGTTTTCCACCAACATGCTGTGTCTCCATCATAGCTCCACATGGAAGGGAATCGTCAGAGCAATTTGAAAATGTGATCGTGTGACTTCACAAAGGTGGAGATTGGTGGCAACTAAGGTGAAGGAACAGTCAGGAGGTAAAGAACAAGCCACAGTACCACTATTCAGAGCTGGAGTGGTTGTCCTAACATGGCACCATGGATAGGGCGCTGTTCTCACAATTTAGCTTGAAAAAAATGTCACCTCCTTCAGACTTGGCACAGAGGGTACCAGTGGAAATCAGGGTCTACAGATGGCACCTATGAAATAAAGCCTAGCTTGTTCTCTGGCACTAAACTGCAAGATTAAAGTAAATAACATGAAAAGAAGCCTGGTGAATACTGGGAGCACATTCTTTGGTCAGATAGATTTCACTCACACAGATGGCATCCTGCATGTTTGTCATGAACCTGGCCAGGACCACCACAGTGAATGCACAGTCCCAACAGTGAAGCACGGAGGTGGAAGCATAATGATGCGGGGCTGCATGACATATGAGATGACATTTAGAGATGGCACCATAAACGGTATACTACATAAATGTAATATATATGAACATTTATGTGATCTATTTATCTGTCAGCTTTTTGTTCCTCTCAGGTCAATATTCCAGCTTTTTATCTAATGCTTTTATTCATTTAAAGTACTACTTTTAGCTATTTCAGTGTTCTAAAAACTATCAATTTCACCCTTTTGTGCATTATTTTGAGCCATCTATTCAGACTCTGCTACTCACAGCTGAGCTAATATTCATTTTATGACACTCTTAGTCACAAGAAGTATTTAATATTACAGCTGAGCCAATATATGGATGTTTTCTTATTTTAAATTCAGTTCATATTTTGTAAAAATTAGATCAGACAATTTTTTCACATGCCCCCCCCAGCAACTACTGACGTACCCCTGTGAGTACAAGCGCCCCTGTTTGGAAATCACAAGTGGACTACAGTGAAGGACTGGCGGTGAGAATTTCCCTCACACTCATAGCCGCTTCTCGATCCTTCCTGTGTCGGCTCTAAGCTGACATGACACGCTGTAGAAGTGATCTTGTCAGGCTCAGCAGACCCTTTCAAGTGCACATACATCCACATGATCTCTTCCATCTCTATCTCTTGTTCTCCTGTAAAGGATCATCGACTTTCTCTTCCATCTCCTCAAAGCCACCGTGGGATCAAAACAAGAAGACAATATATATTAAAAGCCTATTCTTGCATCTCTTTGCTTTTGCAACACGTCCAACAAAACATCTTTCCACAGTGTTTCGCATGATGCTGTTCAGTCCAGCAAGTTACAGCCTGAAGGGCTCCAGCTAAATCAGGGTGATAGTGCGCCGTGTGTGGACCAATGGCACAGCCAGACAGTGGGCAGCGGAGCAGAGCGGTCGCCCGTCTATCTTTCCATAGTTGGTAATAGCATTGCTTCCCTAGTGAGGGAGCACTGAGAACGAATGTACACTGACCGGCTGAGCAGACTGACAATGGAGCTCCGTGGAGACACTTCATCATAATAATACATTTCATTGCCCATAAGTGCTTTTTGGCTCTAAGTGCTTTTCATGATACTCAAAGAGTTTTTATATAGCAAGGAAAAAAAATAAACATCCATACAAGTAGGTCACATGTCCGTCTAAAAGAAGAAATAACAACTTGAAAGTGGAATATGTTTTTTCTTTTGTTTCTGATGAATAATGCTCAAGCTGAGAAGAAAGAAAACAGAAGACGGCAGGTATGTAAATGGAGAGGAGGCATAATTTGTGAAGAAATGAAGCGTGCAGGTGCGTGAACGGCAATGTTACGCCGCATGTTAATTTAAAGTTTAAAGGCAAGACGAACATGCAAATAACACATACCCCGAGGACAGGCTCCCCCCTCCTTCTCAGAGGTAAAATAAAAGGACATCTAATTCAGCTCAACAGCCCTCCCGTTGTGCCTACATGCCCTGTGGAGCTCCTCGTGCATCCTTGCAGCTTGTATTTCTGGATTGTGTGACTCACTCTCATTCACAGCTGCCTTTTGCTTTTCCTGGGCTCGGGGGCTGGTGTCGATAATTAGGGGAGGAAAACTAAAATGGTCCAAAAGGCTCATAAAGGATTTCTAATGAGCTGTTTAGAGTCCCCCCTTTTTCTTTGAACAACTGAGCTGGCGTTCAGGAGCACCGAAGCACTATCTCTTATCAAATCTATAGATTCCCGTGCAGTCCGACATACCCGGCTGCTGCTGAGCTTCGTGCCGCAGTGGCGTTTAATGGGACGGCAGCGGTGGAAAGTGTTTGTCTCAACAGCCCCTGAAGGCTATGTGCTATAATAGTGCAGCGAAAGCTACAAACTCACGGGTTCAGCGTTAGATGGTTTGACAAGGAAGGAAAAAAAAAAAAAGAAAGAAGGATGTTATGAGTTGAAGCTGTGAGCGCACGCACTGTACAGCTGTTAAGTAAATGTACTGCTGAATTTTAATGTTGACTTTTTGTCATGTGTAACACGGTACAACACTGGATGATGAATCAATGATGTATTTGCGGTGATGAATAAGCCTGCTGGTGGTACAGTAACCCTTTTAGTTCACATGATGCATTTCGAATCCAAAGACCATGTGGCAGGTGTTGTCAAGGGCACTGAGAGCCGTGGCGGCATCATTTGGTTTGTATTATGAGAATCAATTCCTCAACCTGTCACATCAAAATCTAAGGACTCCGGGTTTTAATATCTGGATTGAGCAAATTGCTTATTTCGCCGATTTGGCGATGCAAAATCCGACCATCATCCGCTAGGAAGAAGCAATAAAAAGGAATGCCTTTAATTTCACTCTCTGCTGGAATAATTAGGCCATTTGTATTCCCCACTTCATGATTTAAGAGAGAAGCGAGGGGAAAAGTCGATATTGGAACTATACAGGCAGCAGCATTTCAGCCATCAGCTTGTCCAAGTCACTTTGCTGCTATGA